AACACAGTTGGACTGAATGTTTATGAGACAAATGTAATTTTGGAAGTTCTAATGCCAGATGGATCGTTTATGAATGTGAAAGGTGTATGTAAAGTGACTTCCAAAATAAATGAAAGAGAGTTTAAAGCCACAATGAATGTTTTATCATTGCAAGAATTTGATATGATATTGGGAATGGATTGGTTATCAAGGCACTTTGTGATTATTGACTGCAACAAGAAAATTGTAAAGTTTAAATTTTCTGGAGAAAGAGAATTGAAGTTTTATGGTGAGAGAGAAATTTCTTCAATGATAATTACTTATTTGAAAGCATACAAATTTGTATCTAAGGGATGTCAGTGTTTTCTTGCTCAAGTAAATGATACAAATAAGGAAGTTAAAGAGTTGAAAGACATACCTGTAATTAGAGAGTATCTAGAGGTGTTTTTGGATGATTTGTCAGGATTACCACCAGAAAGGGAGATAGACTTCACTAACAAATTGATATCGGGTTCAGAACCAGTGGCAAGAGCACCTTACAGGATGACAATCAAATAGTTACAGGAGCTGAAAAGTCAGTTACAGGAATTGCTAGATAAGGGGTTTATCAGGCCAAGTTCCTCACCATGGGGAGCTCCAGTACCGTTTGTAAAGAAGAAAGATAGGAGCTTCAGAATGTGCATAGATTACAGAGAACAGAATAAGCTTACTATTAAGAATAAATATCCATTGCCCAGAATTGATGATCTCTTTGATCAACTGGAGGGAGCTATAATTTTCTCTAAGATAGATTTGAGATCTGGATACCATCAGCTATGGATTAAGGAGGAAGATATAGAAAAGACAGCTTTCAGAACGAGATATGGCCATTATGAATTTGTAGTAATGCCATTTGGGGTGACAAATGCACCAACTATATTTATGAATTTGATGAACATAGTTTTTAAACCATTTCTGGACATATTTGTAATTGTGTTTATTGATGAAATTTTGATTTATTCAAGAGATGAAGAAAGTCATTCCAGTCATCTGTAGGCAGTGTTGCAAACATTAAAGGAGAATAAATTGTATGCCAAATTTTCAAAGTGTGAATTTTGGCTGAGCAGTGTAAATTTTCTAGGACATGTCATTAGTGGTGAAGAAATTTCTATATATAAGAATAAAATTCAAGCTATGTCAGATTGGCCAAGGCCAGCGGCAGTTTCAGAGGTGAGGAGTTTTCTAGGATTTACTAGTTACTACAGGAGGTTTGTAGAGGGGTTCTCTCAGATTGCAATGCTATTATCCAGATTAACTCATAAAGTAGTAAAATTTGAATGGAGTGATCAGTGTGAATGAGCTTTTCAGAAATTAAAGAATTGTTTAATGACTGTCCCGATTTTGACAATTCCATCAGGTTCAGAAGGGTTACAAATTTTATGTGATGCTTCCTTAAGGGGACTTGGATGTGTATTGATGCATAGTAGAGTGGTGGTTTATGCTTCAAGGCAACTGAAAATTCATGAAAAGAACTACCCCACTCATGATTTAGAATTGGTAGCTGTAGTTTTTGCACTCAAAATATGGAGACATTACCTGTATGGGGTCAGATGTGACGTGTTTACATATCATAAAAGTCTCAAGTACATTTTCAATCAAAAAGAGCTTAATTTGAGACAGAGAAGGTGGTTAGAGCTCATTAAGGATTATGACTTGGATATACAGTATCATCCTGGAAAGGCAAATGTAGTTGCAGATGCACTTAGAGGAAAAGCACTTGGAAATGCAAATTGGCTGATCACCCAACATGAACAGATAATCAGAGATATGGAAAAGTTAGAAATTTCAATGGTAAATCTGAAAGAGACAAAAGATATGATGTTGAATCAGCTGATGATCCAATCTACTTTGAAAGATAGAGTGCTCAATGCATTATCTCAGGATGAAAAATTTCAAGCCATCATAAAGAAGGTGCAAGCAGAATAGTTAGAGAACTTTGTTATGGATGGAAAAGGATTATTAAAATATAAAGGAAGGATCTGCATTCCAAATGTTGGAAGTTTAAGAAAAGAGATATTGCAGGAAGCTCACCTCTCAACATATGAAATTCACTCAGGCAGTACAAAAATGTATCAGGAACTTAGAGGATTGTTCTGGTGGCCAGGATTAAAGTGTTGCAGAATTTATAGCAAAATGTATTCCCTATCAGATGATTAAAGCAGAACATCAAAAGACAAGTGGTCAACTACAACCATTACCTATACCTGAGTGGAAATGGAAGGACATTACGATGGATTTTGTGATCGGATTACCCAGGTCAAGGCAATGTAGAGATGCAATATGGGTTATTATTGACAGATTAATCAAGTAAGCTCATTTCTTACCAATCAGGCAGACAAATTCAGTAGAGAAATTAACAAAATTATATGTTGATGAAATTGTGAGATTCCATGGAATTCTAAAATCTATAATTTCAGACAGAGATGCCCGTTTTACTTCTAAATTATGTAAGAATATTCATGAAGCTTTGGGCACACGATTGACTTTCAATACAGCATTTCATCCACAGACAGATGGGCAATCAGAAAGTCCAATTTAGACTTTGGAGGATTTAATGCGATTATGTGTTTTAGATTTTGGAGAAAATTGAGAGACTCACATACCGTTGATTGAATTTGCTTACAATAGTTTTCAAGCTAGCATTGGAATGGCACCATATGAGGCCCTTTATGGAAGAAAGTGCAAAATACCATTGTATTGGGTAGAAACTGGTGAAGGAAAGGTAATTGGAACTGAACTGGTAGATGAGGCTACTAGAAAAATCAGATTGATTAGAGATAGACTAAAGGTAGTTCAAGACAGGAAACGAAAGTATTATAATGCAAAGCACCAACTAGTGGAATTTGAAGTAGGAGAGTTTGTTTTCTTAAAAATCAGCCCAATGAAAAGTGTTCAAAAGTTTGGAAAGATATAGAAATTGAGCCCAAGATTCATAGGTCCCCATGAAATCATTAAAAGGATTGGAATTATGGCATACATATTGGATCTACCAGTGCATATGCAAGGAATTCATAATGTATTTCACATATCAGTGCTTCGAAAGTATGTCTCGGATGATTCAAAGAAAATCCAATCCAAATGAATTGACTTGTAACCTGATTTGAAATATGTTGAAGAACCTGAACGAATAATAAATTATGATGTAAAATAATTGATGCATAAGGCAATACCTTTTGTGAAAGTTTTGTGAAAACATGGAACAGGAAAAGATGCCACCTGGGAGAAGGAAGTTGAAATGAGAAGTCAATATCCTCATCTATTTAATTAAGGTACGTTTCCTTTTACTTGATTTTAATTTCGAGGACGAAATTTTTAAGGGAGATTGTTATGAACCGATTGGGGGCCGGTTCAACTGAACCGGCAACCCGCCTTTTAATGGAATCGCGACCCAAGAAGGGTCTCTATTTTTGCGAACAGAGAGCGGAAACGGAGGGGGGTGACCGAACTCACGCATGGTGACCTTGGAGGATTTTATTCGTCATTTTTTAGCAAACGAGCGAGTTGGAGGGTATGATTTAATAACTCATTTTCGTTCTTATTGTTATAGAAGCAAAGGTTAGGGAGAATTTGCAATGAAGGGAAGAAATGACCGAGGGAAGAAAGAGAAGAAGGTTAGTTTTTTTTTATTCTTTATTATCTGTATAAATCCTTCCCTAATTCTTATTCTAAGCAATCACCTAAACAATGAGGGTGTTTCATTTAAGGCAAAGAAAGAGATTTGAAGAATTCGGGAAAGAAAGGAGAAGGATTTGAGTCGGAATAATCCTCATTATGTAAGTGATTTCTCTATCCTATGTTTTCGTTAGATTTGATAGAATAAACCTTTAATATTTATTTTATGCAAATTTTTAAAAGGAACAAAAGAAATCAAGTGGTACAAGTTGGGTTCTTCAAGGAATTCAACAAGGAAAGAATTTGAGATAAGAATCGACGAACTAAAAGATTAAAGTGGGTAAATTATGTTATTTTATTATTTTATTCAGAGTTACAAATTCATTCGCTATAAAGATTTGAAAATTTTTTAAATAAAAGGTAATAATTATAGAGATACATGTGAGATATACTATATACAATGGTAACAATAAGAAGGAAAATGAGAATTTACAAGAGAAATTAGAAAAGAAAAGGGAAGCAAAAAGTTACACATGCATGGATATAATGCAGACAATATAACAAGGAAAAGGTATTGAAAACTACAGGAGTTCACCCCTTATCATACTGGATGGGGACGTCGTACTCGTGCACGTAAAAAGGAAAAGGAAAAAGGAAAAAGTCATGTAAATGGAAAAGAAAATAAATGAAAAAGGTTGTACCTTTGGGTACTTTGAGAAGATGTTCCTGTGCAAATCAAATGGAAAAAGGAAATATAAATGAAATATTAAAGTTTTAAAATGTTTTAAATTGTTTGGAAAGAAAATGTCCGAAGATGTATAAATTATTGAAAACAAAAATGAATTAATGTTAAGAAATGCTATGAAGCTTATTAAAAGAATAATTATGATGATTATTTTAATAGTTACCTACTGAGTTGACTTAGTAAACTCAACCCACGAATTTAAAATGTTTCAGGTAAGTCCCCAAAAGAAGAGATGGCTGAAAGAGAAGATTTCGTCTATAGAAGACGACGTTCAAATGATAACAGGTAATTTACATTTTGTGTTTTAGTGGATCTTAAATACAAATAAAGAAGTGGTAATATGTTGAATGAATTTTATCGTCCGACCTTTCGTACCCGACTCGTTAGATCGAGTATCCGGACCGGGTCGAGACAAAAGCTGTTTATCATCTTCAATTAAAACCTAACTTAAGAAATTTTTGGCACATGTATAAAGTAATGTATTGTATACTGTAATATAATTGCCTACTCATACACACGGGTAGATGATAAATATTGGTTTAATAAATGACAATGATAAGTAAAGAAAAAATTTCTTTAAGCGAATTCATTTAAGGAAAAAAAAAAAAGGACAGATTCAAACTACCTGCAAATCATGGTACTCTTTTCCTGCATTAACATCAACTTCAAACAATGAATGAAGGTATAAATGTAAAAAATATTTAGCATTGCAATTTTTATGAGCACTCAGCAATTGTTCAACTACTTCAGAAGGAGGAATGTTATCACGATGATGGATCAGTAAAGGAACTGCTTTTTTGCTGTCAAGCATCATCAGTTGCACAACCTGTAACATGACATGAAATAGTGAAGTTAGACATTAGAAACTATCATGCGAAATTATCTTGTGAAAGAAAATATAGATGGAAGCTTGCTCTTAACAACTTGGACTGAAAACGAAATATTATGGGGCTAACTATGGGGATACAAGCAGAACTATGAAGAAAAAATCAAGATGATCACATGATCATATGTCAACCCAAGTTCGAAGGAAAGAGGATATTTATAGGCTATCTATATTTGAGATGGAAGTAAGAAATTTATTTGCACTATATTTCCATAAGAACTATTTGTCCAAGAAATATACCAACAGAGTCTAAACTTCTGTTTTAGAGTGAGAATAACGTGTAGATAGCATTAGATGTGCTACAGCACAAACTGCACGGTATGAACTGATCATAGCTCGCCAACAACATTGACTTTACTGTGTCAAACACAATTTGTAATGTTTAGGTATGCTGCTGCTAATCTCAATTGTTGTTCTGATTTATTTTGTTCTTGCATTCTCTCTTTTGTTTGTCTGGCTGGTTCAACTTCTCTATGCAGTGAGGAAGAGAACTGAAACATGCTTTTAAACGATTACAGAGAGAGAAAAAAGGGTTGTCAAAAACAAGAGAATGGACGGTACAGTTGTTTAGAACAAAGTTAACTAAAAAAAAACTCGTTAACTTTTAGTTCAATAAAAACATTGATTTCTCGTGAAATAAAACACTCCCTCTCTATAGTAGATGCGACCCTATATGGTGTCAATGCTTTCAGTTATCTCATTTTCATTTGATGCTGGAATTATCCTTTCTTTTTACCATCATACAAGTCTCTTGTATGTGTAGTGGTGATGTTCAAACAATTTACAACCAGGATCAAATCAGGCGTGTGGGCTACAATTGAACACAATGATTAGATGACCTCATCTCTTGCAACTAAGGCATACTAGGAAAAGCAATTTCTACTTCCTTCTAGACAATTCAATGGAGCTTGAGTGAATGATCAAATGCAGTCATTCATCATCTCCAACAATCATCCAAGATTTTTCATAAAAAGTTTTGTATGTGCTTCATTGTCATCTTTTAATTTAAGAAATATTGCATGGGTAATTACGTGGATGGGATCCATATTTTTCCCAAAGAAACATAAGGATTCGGATTTTAGGTCATCCTTCCTTTCACATCATCTTTTTGCATCATATTTCAGAGCAGTTAATGATTTTAATCATACTATACTAGATCTCAGTATTGTCCTGGATCATGAACCCTCTATAATCTTTGCGCTATGTTGTCACCTCTATTGGGAATTTCCGTTCTCTTTAGTTATTCTTTTATTTATTTTTTTTTTTGCTTGGCCGACGGGTGAAATTTTTTTTCATTTTTTAGTTACAATCTTTGTTTAGCTTATGATTTTTTAATTGCTAATACCTTATTTAAGAAAAGGAATGAGCATCTCATCACTTATAAAAATGGATATAATACAACCCAGATCGACTATTTTCTTATTAGAAAATTAAATCGTTTAGATTGCAAAGATTGTAAAGTTATTCCGAGTGAAAATTTATGTACCCAACATCGATTATTAGTTTTGGACTTTAAGATAAAGGGCATAAAATAAAAAATAAAGTAAAACAATTTTCTAGGATTAAATGGGGGCATTTAAAGAATATTAACAAAAAATATTTTTGGAAATAAGATTTTAGATCTTAAGATTTTGTCTGTGCATGAGGATGCTAATATTATGTGGGAAAAAGTGGATAGTGATATTAAGAATATTTCAAAAGATGTCCTTGGAGTATTAAAGGGAAAAGCTCCTAATAGTAAAAATAGTTGGTGGTGGAATCTTAATGTGCAAGAAAAAATTAAAAATAAAAAGTTTTGTTATAAAAAACAGTTTAATTTTAAAAATTCTTATAATTGGGAAATATATAAAGTGGCTCGTAAGGATGCTAAGAAAGCAATATGCGATGCAAAGGCATTAGCTTTTAGTGATTTATATAATAGATTAGATACTAAAGAGGGAGAAAGATATATGTATAAGTTAGCCAAACAAAGAGATAGGAGTAGTAAGGATTTAGTTCAAGTGAAGTGTATTAAAGATGAAGATCAAAAAATACTTTTCTTAGAAGATGATATTCAACAAAGATGGATGAGATATTTTGCTAAACTTTTTAATGAAGATTGTGAAAATAAGATTGACTATAGTGACCTTAGCACCCTAGATGAAAATAAAGATTTATGTTTTTATCGGCGTATTAGTAAAACTGAAGTTACAGAGGCTTTAAAGAAAATGAAGGGTGGAAAAGCTATTGGACCTGATGATATTCCAATAGAGGTGTGGAAATGCTTAGGAGATGAAGGAATTTCATGGCTTACTAAACTTTTTAATACTATTTTGAAGACTAAGAAGATGCCAGATGAGTGGAGAATGAGTGTATTAATTCCTATTTTTAAGAATAAAGGTGATGCACAAGATTGTGCGAATTATAGAGGTATTAAGTTAATGTGTCATACTTTAAAACTATGGGAGCGAGTTATGGAGCATAGGTTGCGGCGTGATACTAATGTTTCTCAAAATCAATTTGGATTCATGCCGGGTAGGTCGACTATGGAAGCCATACATTTATTAAGAGGTTTGATGGAGAAATATAGAGAAAATAAGGAGGATCTACATATGATATTTATTGATTTAGAAAAAGCATATGATAAAGTTCCAAGAGAAGTGCTATGGAGAGTTCTTGAAAAGAAAGGAGTCAATAATGCTTATATTCAAATCATTAAAGATATGTATGCAGGAGCTATTACATGTGTTCAAACACAAGGTGGAGAATTTAAGTTGGATGGTTGAAGTGGAGGAATGCATCGGGTTTGTTATGTGATAGAAATGTACCCCTCAAACTTAAGGGGAAATTCTATAAGATGGTAGTGAGGCCTGCAATGCTTTATGGTGCCGAATGTTGGCCTTTAAAAGAGAAGCATAATACTAAGTTAAGTGTGGTAGAGATGAGGATGCTCAGGTGGATGAGTGGCTTTACCTTTAGAGATAGGATACGAAATGAGCATATACGTGAAAAGGTTGGAGTAGCTCCAGTAGAAGATAAGATTAGAGAATGTCGCCTTAGATGGTTTGGTCACATAAAACGGCGGCCTTGCGATGACCCGGTTAGGAGAGTAGAGGTATTAGATTTGGCTTATGTTAAGAAAGGTAGGGGTAGACCTAAAAAGACTTGGTTAGAAAATATTAGGCAATGGAGAAAAATGATTCATGTAGCCGACCCCACATAGTGGGATAAAGGCTTGATGTTGTTGTAGTATTAAAACCTTTGAATGATGAAAAATATCATTGTTGAAGGTTAACAGTTGCAATAATTTATACCAAACCATCCTGAAAATAAAGCTGTCCTCTAAAGTCAATCTGAATCTGGATCATCTTACATAAGAAAAAACATATTATGCATCAATTAGCCACTTGAGCTTAGCTCTTAAAATTATGAAAAAATTATCTGGCAATAACCTTTCCATAGATTACTTTTTTCCTAAACATTTTCCAGGTATAAAAAGACAAGAAAAGATGTTATGAGTTTAATAAAACTTTAGCAGTTGTAGCAAGCATAGAAATATAAATTATGGAATTCGCAATGCCTATACCCTTAGTTATAATTTGCAGACGAGATAGTGGCGACATCAAAGAAGAGTCATTGAGTTGCAAGTTTTAATGTTAGGCTTTTTAGAGGATACTAACTTATTTTTAAATTTAGAAGTCAAATAATTGCATGTAGTGGGCCAATCTGTATAGAGTATTTCCAGACAACCAAAACTGGAGTGTAAGAACAGAGTACTTTGTTTCTTGGTTTGGCATTTAAAGAAGCTTCTACAATTTATGGACTTTAAGGAACCTTCAACATTTCAGGAGTGGAGGGAAAAAAAAGGTACTCACCAACTTTTTTTTTTTAGAACTAAAATGTGCCTAAGATAAATATAATTTACAAAAACTTGAAATGAGTCTTTAGATTCCTAAAATATAAATGCAAGCAAGACAGAACGTTCGGAAACCTCAAATTAGCTTAAATTTCTAATTTAGCCAATAAAAATATTTAAATTAAATTACTTTGGTTTTTCTTTCATAAATGGATAGTCAGACCTAAAGCTAATTCAATTCTTTGGCTTTTCATTCACATAACAATCTGATTGCTGTTTAACAGCATTCCTAAATTAAATAGCATGGGCATCTTGTTGTCCAACACAAGGAAAGTTGTTTGCTCTCTGCACCAATCTAGGGACTCAAACAAACAAATTGTTTCTATACCAGCAAGAAATCAGTTCAAAAATAGTAAACCTGATAGTTAGCATAGCCATCAAAAAGAGAAACCAACAACTGTGCTGGTTGTCCAGCAGAAGGACAACTTAAAAAAAGAGAGAAATTGCAGTATACATGAAGGAAAAAAAGACTTTAATGGACATTAATTTCATTCATTACAATTCCTCGCAAAAGCATTCTGATAACTATTTCAAACATTTTAACATCCCATTATTTGCATCCGCAATGACCTTAAGAAGGTTGAATATGGATAAATTATTCAAACCAACTTAACTAGTGTAATTGCTGTCTCAAAATATGAACTTTAAGTTTTCACGATATTCTCTTATTGTATCTCGTGAGATATTTTCTCCAGTTTGAGCATCAAAACCTTAACCTTGGTTATACCTTCATCTATAACCTCAATCATACGCATAGCAGGTCTAAGATAGTAAGACATTTAAATTTAGCAGAACTAAGAAATACACTCAAAATAAGCAATCTGTTCGATCAAAATACATTTTCTGACAATTTCACCGAGTTTACCATGAAAGTATTATCAAAACTAAAATACAGTCAAAACATTGTCTATACTTGGTCTTGCATTTAAAACTTATGATATTAGGATTGGACAAGATGTTGGAAAGCATGCCTTTTTTTTTTGTTTTCTGTAGAAATAAAAAAAGGCAACACTTTTTTTAAATAAAATATATTAACAAGATAATAAAGTGTAGAACCAGAGTAATTAAAACAAATTTCCAAAGAAAAAGGAAAATTACAGTAGCATATATAAAGATAAAAATAAATCTTTTGGATTGTCTGCCATAAAGCCTAGTGAATAAAGATTAGGGCCGCTAGATTTTCTTTAGATTCATGACCCTTGTGATATAAAGAACATAAATCACTTACCCACGAGAGAATCGACAACCTGAATGCTTTCAATAGAGTTAGAACTGCTAAGATAAATAGTAAATGCTATGATGAAAAGTACATTGAGGTATTTCAAGAACTAGAGGACTCTTCTAAGTGAAAATATATCAGTAGATGAAGCGGTGATTAGCACCAAAGTGCTAAAAGGGTCAAGAACATCAACCACTATCTTAAGAGTGTAACTCAATCTAGCTCTAAGTTTTGGCAACAGACTTGAGCAAATGATGGATGGTCTTATCAAAAGGAGTAAGCGAATCATTAAGACCATCAGGTAGAAGGTCCTATGCCTGAAACTTAGTATTCCTAAGCTCATGATGAACCTTGAAACATTAAAAAAAATTAATCCCCAGATAGTGGGATGTTTTCAAATTCCACCTTTTAGAATCTAGATGATGACCCAATCAAAACTTATGAAAAAAGGTTCTGACTTCCAGTTCTTCCAAGACTAGCTATAGAATGACGAGTAAAACAATTTGTTGCAGCATCTACTAGTAAAGGCTTGTAAAAAATAGAAGCCAAAGAGAAAAAATTATTGATTGTAGTGCAACCAAAGCTGCTAAATGAGAAGACCATTTAGGCATATGCATCGGAAGGCCACTAATGTAGTATGCACGTACTAAGAATATTCTAATATAATATGCTTCCTAATAAGTCGTATGATGACATTCTAAAGGTCAAAGGAATAAGACAAAAACTTCCACTAGAAATAAGAATAGTCATCCTTCAACTAGAAATAAGACAAAAACTTCCAGATTGCCTCCATATTTGGATGACCCGTGGAGAATTTTCTAATATGCCATAAGGGAAGAGGTCGTGCTTGTGCAAAAGTGTCCTTATCAGATTATCAAAGAAGAAAGCAGGCTTGCCCTGAAAGGAAGAAGGGTTTTTTTTAGAAGAGCAAGTGCAAAAATCTCCTTTTTTTTAAAGCATCAAATGTCGGCCACTTCAATGGAATCACAAGCCCCAGCCACGGGTTTTTGTGTCTTTCACAAAAGGAAGAAGGCTATCTATGTTGCAAAGTCATTGAACCCTGATGCAGTAAAAAGGGAGAGTTAGATGGAATGTGGCGAGTGCCTAAAAGTTTTCAACAATTAATAGAATTTAGAAAAAAGCACATTGTGAAAAAGGCACAGCCACCAAGGAGATTACAAAAGAAGCGTTAGGAGAGTTAGAGGCCACCTAGGGAGGACATGGCGACCTCGTTATGGAGACAATAGTTTTTGTGGATAACACTGCAGAAGGAGGGATTTAAAGAAACAAATCAAATATAGATTGCAAATGAGAACCCATCAACGATAAATAGAAGAGATCGAGCAAGGCGAGTATGCGAGAAAGAGAGAAAGTCCACCATCAATGAGAAAACAAAAGAAGATGGCACACTGTGGGCTGCCCTAAAATCGAAGGGATCAAAAGAAGATGAGATATCATGCCATGAATAGGTGTCGACATCAATGACAACCTAATGCTCCAGCAACAGACCCTAGGACGAGCACCTGCAATACCCAATGAAGCCAAATCATGGCTCACGAAGAGGTACAGGGAAGAGGCGCTTGAGACAAAATGACATGAGATAATCTGTCGTGTGATATTCATGTAAAACATATGTTGTACACCAAGCAAAAGAAATGTAGCCGTTCACTCAAAACCCTAGAGAAGCATGGATGCCAATCGTAACACTTCATTTGTCATAAATTAAAGCCATAACCAATTATACAAAACCATTTTATTCAAGCATAAATAACATATGAATATTTCCTTGCAACACATCGACGCCTTGTCAGAGTTCTTTATCGGCCATCCAAGTTAAACCAGTAAATAGATCAATCATGAAGTAATAATGTTATCCTTCACAGGAAAGAAATAAGCTGCAATTGAAATGGACTAGTTCCTACTAACATATTAGGTTAATTTTTGGTTCCCAACGTACAAGCTCAAGCTTTCATCCTGGTTATTTATTAGTTTAACTTTCGATCAGATTTAGAGGCCTTTATATTCAACCGTAGTAACCCCATTTACCCAGCCCAAAATTGCTCGATTAGTTTCCAATGTAAGTACAAGTGGGTTTACAAGTAAGGTGGCATGTTACAGATATGGCTATATGTTAGGCTTAAGCCCAAAAAAAAAAAAAGCTTAAACTTTAAGATTGATTGGTTACCAATTCAGTAGAGACGTATCAAAAGAAAAAAAAGTTGCTTTAATCTTATAAAAGAAATAGTAAAATACCTTTTCATGAATTGCATCATGTAGATTATTTTTCTCAATGAAATCAAATATCTCCGATTTCATTAACTGAAAAAGAACAAAAAAAAAAATATTTCTAACCGGAAGAGGTACAAGTGATGCTCTAGATTCTATTTGTATAAACATTAAATACAAAATAAGTTACTCACATCAGCATATAATGCAAGGGCCTTCTCATACTGATTGTTAATAACATATAATTCAGCTAATGCCTGCCATACTAAAGGTTTAGTGACTCAGAACGAAGAAAAAAAAACAGCAAAGAGTTTTCCACTCTCCCAAGCTATACCTCTTTCAGTAAGTCAGTCATAGAGGAAGTACTAATCTGAGGTTCAATTGCAGAAATAACTGGCAAGGAGGAATATATGGTTGGCGGCCATGACCGAACAGTAGATAGTAAGACATTGTGGAAAGCCGGATTAGTTGCTAATGCAACAAGTGCTACCTGCAAGATATATATTATAGTTAATCACTTAGGAGAATTTACTTGTCTTATGAAGGGCATGGGCATTGAAGAACGGTAAAGTTAAAACCTATAATTCACAAGACATACCTCATAAGCAGTATCACTCAATCGCGGATTTTCTGTAGGCATGTAAGTAACCAAAACAGGAAGCTGCCGCAGGTGTGCAAAGTGAAAAACCCATCTATCATACAAATACTATGTCTCATCATAATTTATAATAAATAATAACAAATATAAAACATCATTTATTATTCAATTTCAAACCTCTCCCATGCTGAAGCAGAACCACGAAGTAATTTAGGACACAAACATGCTGCTTCTGCATATTTTCTTTCGACAATCAAATGATCAAGATATCTGGATCCCACCTAGACGACTTAAAATAGTTAAGATGTTTAAAGCTTGGGCGACATGAACTGTAAGCACTTGATCAGTCAAAGGAATTGTATAGCTATTAAAATACATAATATGCCTATAGGGTAAAAAAGCTTGAACAAAGGAACATAAATAAAGGTTGACAACAAAAACGATCACATTGCATCCACAAACTCCCACGCCAGACTTAACAGAAACCTAAAAAGGAATAAAAAATAAATAAATAAATTACAAACACACACAAAGAAACAACACCAAAAATGGCATATAGCTGATTGTTGACCTAAACTTATTTCGTCACAAGGAACACAAATCGAGTACAGTCAAAATCAATGCTAATATTGGTCGTTGAATACAAAATCAAACAAAAATAATCGAAAGCCTAATGAAAATCATTGAACTGTTGCACACTTCATAAAATGAACCATATTGATGGAGCTATAATGCCTAAAATACCTATGAAGGAACCCACTATGAGCTCTGAAAAGTTACACCCTGCTCTAGAAGAGTTTGTGGTTCTAAATAAAATTTTTATATTGTCATATTGTCAATAAGAGATCATCTAAATACTTCTCCCTCATTTCGAGAGGACATTATAATTTGGCTCTAGAACATTATAATTTAGCTCTAGATTTCTCAAAGGCGCAAACCCTTATAATTAATTATGACCCATGATGACGGAAGAACTTTGATAAAGGCTAGTTGATATATGCTAAATACTAGGCGTATATAGCAACTTTATTTTAGGATACAAAAATCAATTATTAATTGTTTAAAGAGGATGGTGGAGGAACTCGATCAAGATTACATTATTCTATCATCTTGAGTTGTCATGGAGCGTAGCCAGCTTAGCTAGTAGAGGTAGCCCAGCTTGATCTAATCATCCTTATCGGCACCAACAGATTATTTCGTCCAAGGGAATCTTATAGCCCTAAGGCGAATACTTGTATAAGGAGATAATTTCAAGTTGATCTAAGCTCACATAAGGCTTTAGGTAAGAGAAAATAATGTTATTTGAATTATCTTTTATTATAACAGTTAAATTATTGTTAATTAAACCCAATTAGATAATTTACAAATTTCAAATAATTGCTTGTATTGGATGGGAAGCTTAGAAATCAGTTATCATGGTGGACCCCACTCTCTTATTCCCTTATCTTATTTGGAAGGCACGCATGCAGCAAACAGTGCATAGGAAAAAGGCAGTTATAGGATTGAAGAGGAAATGGGATAATGCTATGGTGGAAAAAGGGGATTTAGCACTGCTGTGATGGACAAGGAGAAGGGAATTTAGCATTTTTGTAGTTGAGAAACAAGACACAAGACATTCTGTGGTGGAGAAACAAGACACAAGGCATTGGGGAGAATCACGGGTGATGCAATGAGAAGAATAGCAGCTCAATGCTGTAGGGGAAAAACCTACAGGTAAGTGGAAAATTTCGGATCCTGTAGGAAGAAAATTCTGCACAGTAAACAGATGGGAAATCGGTAGTGCAGGAAGGATCTGTAAGGAAAACTGAGACTGTTTGGTATTGTGGGTGAGAGTACTAGTTGTGAGAAAAGATCAGAGATTGGTACAAATTGGATAAGTAAACCTGTAATTTATTTTAGTAAGATTAGCAAGGAGTGGTTTGGATATATTGCTAAGATTAACTGATTTATACAGAAGACTTTAAGAATAGCAATTTCATTAAAGAATTTCAGTTAAAGGAGAATACAAGAGTACAGGAAAGAAGAAGTTATAAGTGAATTGCCCACCCAAATTACGATGCCAAGTATTATAATAAAGGAAAAACATATACATAACAGCTTACCTCATCAAGAAGCTCATTTCTTCCTTGCCCTGCTTCAACTGCGGCCAAAGCCTTCTCATGAAAACCATGTTGAAGGAGCCAAGCGATATGATCTTCAGCATCTCTGAAAATATAAATGCATGGAAATATGATTAGCAAAGGTGTGTACCATACTTAAGCAGCAATACCTCACTAAAAAATCATTTTAGGGAGATTTACTGATCTGTATATGTTGCTTTTAACCGATAATCAACCAAAAAGTAAGAAAAACGTCAACACTATCATGCGCCTTTATAATAATTTATCAGTTTTGCATGATTCTGTTAGGCTGGTTAAATCGGTCCAACCTGGACCGGTTCAGGTTTACTGCCGCCAGCCTAGGGGGAGGGCGAAACCAAAGGAGAGGGGGCGGATGGCCTAGTGGGCCCAAGCAATTAATGTAATGGGTGTTTAGGAGGGAAATTTGAATTAGAGGGCTGTTTAGGGATTTTTTATATCTCCATTTGCTTTAATTAGGGACTACTGATAGAATTAGGGTTTTATCTTGAATTTGGAAGGAATTTGAGAACTAGGGTTTGTGTTCTTGGGCTCTAGGCTTAGTTAGAGATTTGGAGAGCTGTTTCTTCCTCTCGAATTGAATAAACTTATATCGTTTGCTGTTTTCTTGCATCTATTAGTGGATTTACCAATTGTTTCTCTCTATTTTCTCTGTTTTCCTAAGAAAAACTGGTGTAATTTGCTGTTTGACTGCTGTAAACAGTAGTTATCTTCACTATTTCCCACCAATTCTTGCTAGGTTTGCTTGCGAACTCAAGTATTACCCTTGGGGTTACTTGCGAACTAAAGTACTTTCTATCAAATTGCTATCAGAGCATTGTCTTGAGACTATTGACGGCTAAAATCCAGAAATTTCAGCAAGGAATTATCATTTGCAAGAAGATCTTCTCGTAAATCTTGGGAAGGAAAATGGTCAGAAGGAAAGTTGAAGTATTGTAGGGAGAAATAGGTCAACTAAAGACCGATTTTGAGGAAAAAACCGCTGATTTTCAGAATCAATTTGTTTCCATCCATGAAAAGATGGATGGAAGGTTCTCCGCCTTGGAAGACATGATGAAGAAGATGCTTGAAAGCAAACAAAATCCAACGACATCGGAAGGAAGGGAGACCACCAGCGACAATAGGAAATGCGGAAATCCGAACCCATTTAGGGAGAAGGAGAATCCGTAAGTGAGATCCTTGAGGGAAATAATGGAATGCCTCCTCTAGAAACCACTTTCTAGGGAGGAGATGAGTATGGGCTATGAAAGGAGGGGTGCTGATTTTGTTGGGAGAGGGAATGAATTTTACCGCCGGGGTGTTGAATATGAAAGTAGAAGAGGGTAATATGAGGAAGGGCTCGGGTATGATCACTGGAGGGAAGATCGTGACCACTAAGGAGTACATCCTTTTTTAGGAATGAGAGGTTATGGAGAAGTTTGGGGAAACGGGGGTGACCCGAGAGTGAGGAAACTAAAGATGCTCATCTTTGAAGGCGATGATGCACAAGGTAGAGCGGTACTTTGCAATCAATGGGTTGACAAAGGAGGAGAAACTAACAGCGACAGGACTATATTAAGGAAAGGAACTGGCATGGTACCAATGGCGGGACAAGAGCCGGCCCATTAGAAGTTGGAGGGAGTTCAAGGACTGTCTGCTAGAATGTTTCCGACCCAGTAGGGGAGGAGACTTCTACGATCAATTCTTTGCCCTGACACAGGAGGGGATAGTGGAAGAGTAGTGTGATCGGTTTGAGTACCTAGCTAGTAGGATGGATCTTCTTTCTAAGACAGTGCTTGAGGGGAACTTCATGAAATGACTCAAATCGGAGATCAACGTAGCTTTTAGAGTGATGAGGCCGCACGACTTGGGGGAGGCCATGGAGTTGGCGCAGCTGGTCGAGGACCAGACGCATCTTGAGAGGGGGGCTCGAGTCAGTAGCTCCGAGGGGATCCTACAGGATGACTACTACTTTTCTAGCTCCCAAAGGAGCTGCACCGAGAGGTTCACGCGAAGTACCAAAGGAGAAGTCTGGAGGGGGGCCTGGGGGAAATTTTAGAAAGCTCACTAAGAAGGAGATACAGGAGAAGAGGGCTAAGGGTTTATGTTTCAGATGTGATGAGAAGTACATGCCGGGGCATAGGTGTAAGGACCGAACTCTTCAGGTTCTCACCGTTTGTGATGACGAGGAAACTGAAGTGGGAGATGAGAGCGAAATAGTGGAGGAGGAGGAAGAGAAGTTACATCTAGACGTCGCTGAAGTCTCTCTAAACTCTGTGGTGGGATTAACCCAGAATCACACCATGAAAGTGAGGGGAGAAATAGTAAATCGTGAGGTAGTGGTGCGGATCGATAGTGGGGCCAACCATAATTTCATCTCTAACCAGATTGTAAATCTGTTGGGGTGAAATTAGTGGACACGGGAGGATATGAAGTGATAATGGGTACCAGGAAGGTGGAGATGGGTAGAAGAGTTTGTAGGGGAATGGTGTTGACCATTCAAGGGATACAGGGAGGATTTTCTTCCCTTAGAGTTAGGAAATACCGATGTCATCCTGAGGATGAAATGACTGCAGAACTTGGAGGAGACCAAGGTCAATTGGGGTGCTCTGAGAATGGAACTGATGGTGGGGGGAAAGAGAATGGTGATCCAGGATGACGTAGGGCTATCCAGGGCCGAAGTATCTCTCAAATCCATGATCAAATCCATATAGGAGGTGGGAGGTTGGTATTTGGTGGAGTGACAATGCTTGGAGAGGGTCAGTGTGGGAGAAGAGAGAGACATTCCCATGGCGGTACAACCCCTCATACAGCAGTACAGTGAGTTGTTTCAACCACCTATGGGCTTACCACCACCCAAAGAGCAGGAGCATGCAATCCTTCTGAAGGATGGGATGTTACCAATTAGTGTTCAGCCTTATTGCTACCCCCAAATTCAGAAAGATGAGATTGAGAAACTGATTAGGGAGATGTTGGAGGCAGGGATCGTCAGACCGAGTGTGAGTCCTTTCTCTAGTCCAATCTTACTGGTCAAAATAAGGATGGAAGTTTGAGGTTTTGCGTGGATTATAGGCCGTTGAACAAGGAGACGGTACCAGATAAATTCCCAATTCCGGTGATTGATGAGTTATTAGATGAGCTGTATGAACTCATAGTGTTTTTGTAATGGACTTGAAGTCAGGCTACCATCAAATCAGGATGGAGGAGGATATTCAGAAGACATCCTTCAGGACGTATGAGGGGGACTAAGAGTTCTTGGTGATGCCATTTGGGCTCACTAACGCCCTTACTACTTTCTAGTCTTTGATGAATAGGGTGCTCCGGCAGTATCTCAGGAAGTTTGTGCTGGTACTTTTTATGACATTCTAGTGTACAGCAAAACAGAGGAGGAACATCAAGAGCACTTGAAGGAGGTTCTTAAAATTCTACATGCACATCAACTGAGGGTCAACCTAAAGAAGTGCAGCTTCGCTCAGTCTAGTATGGACCGGTTCAGGTTTATTATCGCCGACCTAAGGGGAGGGCGGAAACAAGGGAGAGGGGGCGGATGGCTTAGTGGGCCCAAGCAATTAATGTAATGGGTGTTTAGGAGGGAAATTTAAATTAGAGGGCTGTTTAGGAATTTTGTATGTCTCCTTTTGCTTTAATTAGGGGCTAATGATAGAATTAGTGTTTTATCTTGAATATTTAATATGATAAATAAAAGAAACACATAATCTTGTCATTCATTTATTTTCAAAACATACATTTACAATAGTCCAACCCAATCAACTATCGTTATCCACTCGATGGGATTCTTTCTTTTCATGAAAATGAATATATTATTCAATAAAATAAATGAACAATATAAGAAAAGTATTAAAATAAAAAAGTTTCACTTATCAGTTAAGCTAATTGTCATAAAATATCACTATTTATACATTGTTCTTAATACAAATCATTTCCATTAATTATTTAAAGCATTCAACTAACTGTAGTAATAAGTGTACTTAAACATAATATTTACTTAGAAATACCTATACTTGAACTTGTAGATAATACAAACATAATTTATTTTTACTTACACTAGTAAACGTCAATAATGTTAGACGGAAACATACCCAAGTCCTGATGCATGTTTATAACTCAACTTCCACTTACAGCTTACGATGATCAAATCTCAAGTTAGACGGAAACATACCCAAGTCCCCAATAACTCTACTTATACTTCTAACACCACTTGGTCATCTCACTCCTATACAATATAGGAAGAATACATAAACATCAACAGGAATGGGCCAATAAAACATAAGTTGTACTTGATTGATCATCTCCCAACATAACATCCATGACATGAGAACATGAATTTGAACATGGGCATGAATTTGAACATGGCCATTTCAGCCTGTAGAATTAACATATAAGTTATAACATATATATTTAAGTAGCGCATATATCGTAGTTGACAGCATAGAGGTAAAATTTAGACATACTATCCAACAGTGATATTTAAATTAAATAAACAATCGGGTAGAAGAGCGGAGTTCGCGGAGAGAAGCAGAGTTCGCGGTTTTGGAGATCCTTTGGAAAATAGAGGTGCTCCGTCAGCCCGGCATGGCTAACGGAGGTCCTTGGTCCAGAGCGAAGACGATCTTGGCGTTCTTGTCGATTTTGACGGAACCTTGGCGATCTGTGGTTCTCCGTCGGTCTGGTATGGCCGACGGAGGTCCTTGGTGGTATTCTGGTAAAGAAGCTTTTCATTCGAAGTGGATTTTGGCGGAGAAGTTGTTTCTCCGACTGACTGATTTAGAGATTATTTGCGATTGTGGTTTTTATTCTTTTGATGTTAGATCCTTGATTGATTGTGGTAATTTCACAAATCTGAAGTTGATTTTGGAGGGTTCTCGTTCGTCCGACATTGCCTTTTGTATTTCTTGGTATAAGTCTTCCGATTGGAGGCAGATTTTGCAATTGTCTATGATGGTGAAATGTTTGACTGAAGTTTTCTTTTGGGTTGGATGTTCTGCTGGAATTTATCTTGATATTTTTCGTGGTGATTGTTTCTTGAACTTGGTTGGTTTTTATGATTGTCTTGAGTTGGTGTTTGGAGCTGAAAATTTTTATGGATTGTTGATTGTAAATGAGAGGTTCTTGAAGTGGTTGTTGTTCAAGAAGATTTGTTGTGGATTTTGTTCTTACAGATGCAAAATGGTTTGTTCTGAAGATTTGTTGATGAAGGTTGTGGTGTTCCTCTGTTTTCATTTAAGGAAGGTGACATTTCAGTTGAAGAATGGTATGCTGAAATGTTCTTGTTGGATGGTTTATTCGGCACAGTTTGGAGTTTTATGGAACAATTTTTTTTATTTCTTCAAGGATATTGGAGAAATGGTTGATGAGATATCGGTCGAGTTTGTGAAAATTTGGAGTAGTCGGTCTGCAACTGGGTATGCAGTTTTTTTGATGGCTTTGAGTGGATCTTCCAAAGGAAATAGTTCGGTGAATTACTATGGTGCAGCTGGAGTTATTTTATTGTGGTTTGTATATGGGAAATTGTTTGGATCTTCAAAGATGTATTGGAGGTTGCTTTTGGAAAGGGCTTATCTCTTCAAGGCTTAAGATGGATACTCCTTTGTTCTTTGAAAGACTTACTTGAAGGGTTTGAATTTTACTAGTTTTTCCCTTGCCAGTATGAAGTGTGTGGTGGTGATTATCAGTTCTTATGGCTTTGATATTGTTGAGGCCGGTTATTGGACTCTAGATGGGTGTCAGTGTCATTGCTTCATCGACTTTGGTTTGTTCTTCCATGGTGGTTGTTATTGGATGCATGGAGGCTTCAGGTTTCAACTCATGATTGGAGCTCGTTGTCATCTAAGGATGTTGAAGGCGGTCATGTTGACAGTTTGGAGGCTGTTTTAGTTGTTCTTTTTCTTATTGTAGTTTGTTGTCTTTTTTATTTTCTCGTAGGTTCTTCTTTACCTATTGAAATTATTATAATGAAATGTGGGATTTTTACTAGGTTTCATTTTTTATCTTTTGGGAACTCTGGGATACTAACCAACCTTTTAGGTTGTTTTAATATTTGGTGTACCCATCACCCTAATGGATTTAAAATGGAATTTAGTAGATCGCGTATTCATTATGATAGTTTTAAAGGGCTTGTTTTCTCTTTCTAGTTTGTAATAGTCGTTTCTTCTTTTTTAATGCAATTTGCATTTCTTCAAAAAAAAAAAATTAAATTAAATATTCATAAGACATTTAGAACAAGACTTTTATTTAATTATGACACTTTTCAACATAACTAAATTATAGTCATAAAACATTCTAAATATCATACGTAGAAAACTAACCAATGAAATTTCAAACTTTATTAATAAAAAAGTTTAGAATAAAGAGTGCGACAACGTACAAAAAAATTACACAGAGGAAAGTAAATAAAACCTAATAAAATGAATTAAACCGTATAACTTTTCAACTACATTTAAAGCTTAAATTTAAAAGAAAAATCATAATCTAAACATTATTATTTTCTAAAAGAGAAAAAGACCGAAATAGTCCTTCAACTCTTTATGAGGGACCAAAATGTTCCTTAACTATTTTGAGGGACCAATTTAATCCTTCAACTCCTTAAAAATAGATCTTTTTGGTCCTAACATTAAATATTTGGTTAATGTTGTTAAATCAAGAGATATTAAATTTTGGGGTTAATGGTGTTAAGTCAAGGGGAAAATTAGTCATTTTTAATTAAATTATTTATTAAATATAATTTTTAAGTAATAGTAATTTTTTAACAAAAAATTTATTAAATTTTCTTTAATAAAAATATTTATTATTAATTATACATAAAACATGTCTCAATATAAATATCTTATAATAAATTAATTTCTTTTTTAATTATATAACTTTACCCAAAATTTCAAAAATACCTCATAAATAATGAATTCATCTCATTTTTTTCTCTTGACTATTAAAAATAAATACCAATTTCTAAAAATAAATAACTCAAATTAAATAATTTTATTACATTAAAAAACAAACCTATCCCACACCGCTCTCTAGTCACTACAGTTAACATACTATTTAATCGAATATCTAAATTTTTCATGAATAATTTTCATTAATCATTCTTATGAATATTTCACTCTGATTCATATTTCCTAAGATAGCAATTGACTTGGATACCACTTTAATCACGACCCGATCAGATTGGAGGCTCAAATTATTGAGGCGGAGGCATATGGTTGGAAAGTTATTTAAAAATTTTAGTAACAAATATTTCTAATAACAACTAATTTTTATTTAGTAAAATATCCAAAAAAAATTCAAATGTATTTAATGAAGAATATTATAACTATTTCAAATAAATACCTCTCTGTCAGAGTGTTGCATTTACATATATATTTTCTCCTCTCTCACTCATTTAAACCATTCAAATGATACATGAATACATTTGCATATATTAGGGATGAGTTATAATACCACTCAATATGCACATCTTGCTTTAAAATTAACAATAATAAAATATTATTCTGAACAATATGCATGTTTATTATAAAATATGAAATAAAGTAACTTTATTTAATAATAATTTTATTTTGAAAAGAATATGACTATAAGTAATACATTATGCATATATATCATACATGCCATGTTCTATTATTTTCTGTAACTAATACAACCATCATAATAAATGTCTACTTAGTACCAATTAAAGTACTCTCTTTTTCATTTCACTTTTCAAAACCTTCTCCATTTTATAGAATCGAATATATTGCATCTCTTGTTAGTACTATAAGAGGCATATTCCATCAATCAACAAGCACATGCAATCATTTCTACCTAATCATTTTACTCATATATCATTCAATAATTTTACATATAATAAGTAATTTGAAACATAACATGCTAATTATCATCTATTCTAAGATCAATCATTTAAACAGTGAATGATAAATACAAATTTTGAATGCAATAAAAACTAATTAAGAATATATAAATTTAATATCAATATAAAAAAAACTTTCTTATTGCCAAAATGATAAATCGCTTTTATATTTTCATACTTGATATTTAAAATTTTCCGCTTAAATATTATTTGTTACTTAACATAAAGATAATTTAATTTTCCAATTTAAATTTCATATATTATTTAATTTTAAAATATCCTTTCTCTCTCTCATTATGTATATATTGTATACTCATATAATGAATTAATTTCTATTATTTTAGTTATATAACTTTACTCAATATTTCACAAAAATCTCATAAATATAATTCTTCTCATTTTCTTCTTCTTCCTCCTTAAAATACTAATACTAATTTCTAAAAATACAAACTCAAATTAATTTATTTTATTATACATAAAATAAAAAACAAGCCTATCCCACACCTCTCTAGTCGTTATAGTGCATGCCTTTCGCCCTCTTTCGAAAGCAACAAAACCCTCCTCGAGTTGCTCAGGCCGACGTTGCTCTAGCCCACTATCTTTCTTGCATGTGATGAAAACAAATGAAGCTTGCCTCAGCTTGGTGGCTCGCTCACAGGTCCTCTCTCTCTCTCTCTCTCTCTCTCTCTCTCTCTCTCTCTCTCTCTCTCTCTCTCGGTCTCTCCTCGTATCCACCTTTTTCAAATTTAAAATGAACGAGAGCTCTTCGTCTTCATGCAAAGGAATCAACACAATCCCTCGTTTTCTCAACACGAAGCAACAAATTGATTGACAAAATCGGTGCACACACTCTTCATCTTCATTTATGGAGCAGAATCGACCTCTCTCTTCATCTTCTTCAACACCAGATAACAGAATAGATGGTTGTCGATTCGGCTATTTACACTTATAGATATAATGTTCAACCCCTTGTATGAAATAAAAAAACTAGAATCTATAACAGAAGCAGAAAACATCTTTTTCTGAAGAACATAAAACAATCTTTAGCCCTTTTCATTCACATTAGAGTAGAGCAAATTGCATTAATTTTAAAACAGATTAGGAAATTTCCAGGATACCATATTAACATTAAATTTAACTGAGATCGTCAGAGATTGATTAAAGATCTTCAGAGGTTGATTAAAGCAAGACCAGAAACAAAATCAAGAAAGACAACAATGTCAATGTTGCATCACTGACCTAGGCCTTGCAATAACAACATCTTTAGGAGAAACAATATAATACAATGGTTCATCACCAGCAGCCCACTGACCACCAGCATAACTGCTTCCTACAAGAAAAATAATCAAGAGATTGTTTAAGTCACTGCCAGAACTCCTATACAGCTAAAACCTGATATAACAAAAGCACAATAGATTGTGAAAAAATAGATAACAAAACCTGTGAATGGAGCATGAGCTAGCGCATAATCCTTAGCTTTGTAATGCTCAAAACCGTGCACAGGGAGAGCATCAGTTGTAAGTTCTTCATTTTTCCATGTCACAATCCGTACTTCTGGCCTTTGTGCAGTTCCCTATATTAGATTTTGTTCTCTACGTGATTACAATTCTACAAAACTCAGGTTTTTCCATAAGACTAAGCATTTGCCTCAGAATGATAGAAATTAAATTCTCGAAGGTTTTAAAAGAAGAGTGACATTTAAGTGCAACAAGCAAGCAAGAGACTAAATTTTATAGCATCAAGCTAAAACGCATACACGAACAACAATAACATCTTGCGAGCATATGAAAATTGAAAGAACGTAAAAGTAGTACAATACTCCAATTGTTAATTCTACAAAAAAGCTTTTTCAAAAAGCAAGTTATGCAGCATAATTTTTTTGCCGGAATAACTCAGCACTTCAATTTTCCTAGCCACATGTATTAAATAAGAGTAATACTACATCTTACTCTAATATAATATTTGACTGTTTCAATAGCTCTAGAGACCATGATGTATTTTGTTGAATTGGTGCGGGTGCACTTGCTTAGATTTGGCACTAGGTCTAAGTTTCTCTTAGCTCCTTCAAATAACAAAATAGGGGTGAGCTATACTTGGCTGACATGGGTAAGGCTATCTTTTTCAAAAAAACATGGAGCGTGGTGAATGAGGATATGAGCACCAAGTGCGATTGCTATGGATTTCCTGAGTTCAGAGATATCTTCACAGCACTCACAAGCTAATATGGACAAAGCTAACATCACTACACTCTTCCTTTTGCCTTTTATTTTTTTATATCTTCATTTTTATTCTAGTCAATTCATGTTTATTTAAGCTCTCTTCTAATTTAATAATAGATGGATAGGATGATGATCAAGCTGCACCAGGAGAGGCCACTTTTCAACAAATGTGGACAAGCGAATAATCTCCTAGCTACACGGGAATACCCTCTCTGGCAAGCAAGCACAAACTTACTTGCCATGTAAAACCTTCTCTCCTTCAGCTAACTAGTTAACACGCCACAGCAACTTCTAATTCCAGAAGTGATGTCATTCAAGCCCAAAATGACAGCTGTAATCAGGCCCACTATCTTTGAAGATATTAAAATGGTGAGGTCTCAGACCTTTTAATTCCAGATGCTAAGGTATCTCCCACGGACTTGTTCCCCATGCTATGTAGACATTTAAAGTTAGACAATCGATGCGCGTAAAGGCTTATCATGTACTAATATATATTAAAAAAATGATGTGCCAATATGCATGCCAATGGTGCTTGACATACCAATGATTCTTAATCCTTTCACATTAGCTATCTCATAGCTTTGATGGACTTGCCAATGAAAAAATTCATGAGTTAGCCTCAAACTTTCATTAGACTTCAGGATAACTTCTACGATCCCATACTTTATAATTTGTAAGACTCCATAAAGAAGAAAGATTCACTCAATTTTTGCTTTATGCTTTTTTAAACTTATCAAAAGAAGTTGATTTATGCTTTGCTCTAGCTTATAATTTTGTAATTGCTAATACTTTATTTGAAAACGGTGAGGAGCATCTCATTATTTATAAAAATGGATATAATAAAAATCTAATTGACTATTTTCTTATAAGAAAAATAAATAGCTTAGATTAAATATATAGTAAAGTTATTCTGAGTGAAAGTTTATGTACATAATATTACTTATTAGTTTTAAACTTTAAGAGAAAAGGGCAAAATATGAAAAATAAAATATTGTCCTAGAATTAGATTTAGGCATTTAACAAACAAAAATATTTTGAGAGTAAGATTTAAAATATTAAAATTTTGACTATGCATGCGGAAGCTAATGTTATACGAAAAAACATAACTAATAATATTATAAATATTGTAAAGAATGTGCTTGGAGTATCAAAAGGAAAATCCCCCAATTGTAAAAGTAGTTGGTAGTAGAATCAAAATGTGCAAAAAAAGATAATTAACAATTTTGTTATAAAAAATGTTTTGAATATAAAAGCTTAGAAAATTGAAAAGTATAAAGAGGGAGAAAGATGTATATAAAATTTAGTTAAATATAGAGAAAAGAAGTAAGGATTTAGTTCAAGTGTAGTGCCTTAAAGATGAAGATCAAAAAGTATTATTATTAGAAGATGATATTTAATAAAAGTGGATGAGATATTTCGATAAGCTTTTCAATGAAGATTGTGAGAATATGATTGATTTAGTGACTTTAACACCCTAAATGAAAATAGATGTCTATTAGTATCGCCGTATTCATAAAATTGATGTTAAAAAAGCTTAAAGAAAATGAAGCATGAAAAAGTTGTTGGACATGATGATATTCCAATAGAGGTGTGAAAATGCTTAGAAGATGAAGGAATTTCTTGACTTATAACACTTTTCAATATTTTTTAAAGACTAAAACGATGTTAGATAGGTGGAGGAGTACACAACAACAACATCAATCCTTAATATATTGAGCTACATGAATCCTTTTCCTCCATTGTGCCCTGTTAAAAGTTAAATTTTCATTTAAATCTAAAAAAGAAAGGTTATTTATAATATTTTTCTAACCAAGTCTTTTTAGGTCTACCTCTAACCTTCTTAATATAAGTCAAATCTAATAAATCTACTTTCCTAACCAGGTTATCGAAAGGCCGTCGTTTCATGTGACCAAACCATCTAAGGCGACTCTCTCTAATTTTATCTTCAACTGGAGCTACTCCAGCCTTTTCACGTATATGCTCATTTCATATCCTATCTTTAAGGGTAAAGCCACTCATCCACCTGAGCATCCTCATATCTGCAACACTTAATATTATTTTTCTCATTTAATGGCCAACATTCTACACATAAAGCATTGGAGGTCTAAACACCATCATATAGAATTTTCTCTTAAGTTTGAGAGGGACTTTTCTATCACACAACAAGCTCAATGCATTCCTCCACTTCAACCATCCAACTTGAATTCTACTAATAATATCCCCATCTATTTCCTCATCACTCTAAACAATAGATCCAAGATATCTAAAACGTGTACTCTTATTAATATCTTGATCACTCAAAGTCACAATCCCCCAGTAGAACTATTATTACTAAAATTAGATTCCATATATTAAGTTTTAGATCTACTCAAATGAAAGCCTTTAGACTCTAAGGTTGACCTCCAAAATTCAAGTTTACCTTCAACTCCCTCTCTAGTCTTATCAACAAGAATAATATCATCAGCAAAAAGCATACATCACGGTACAATCTCTTGCAAATGTCTAGTGAGAACTGAGAACACTCATGACTAAAGCAAAAAGATATGGGCTTAAGGATGATCCATGATGTAATCCAACTGAAATAGGAAAATGCTTGGTCAGACCACCTTGTGTTTGGACACAAGGAACAGCTCCTGCATATATATACTTAATGAATTGAATATAAGCATTACTAACTTCTTTCTTTTCTGCTCCAGAGCACTTCTCTTTGAACTTTATCATATGCTTACTCTAAACTAATAAATATCATATGTATAACCTCTTTATTCTCTCTATACTTCTCCATCAAATCTCTTAATAAATATATATCTTCCTCATATGTATAACCTCTTTATTCTCTCTATACTTCTCCATCAAATCTCTTAATAAATATATATCTTCCAGAGTAGACCTATCCAAGATGAATCCAAATTCATTAAGGATATGTATGCAAGAGTTGTTACTTGTGCTCAAACACAAAGTGATTTGACCAAGTAATTTTTCTATTTCAGTTGGATTACATAGAGTATCAACTTTAAGCCCATATTTTATTGCTTTAGTTATGGATATTATGACAAGACATTTACAAGAGGATGTACCTGTAAAACCTGAAAATGTCAATTTTAGGCATCGCATGCATTTCGATGTGCCATGACAAAAATAAGACGAATTTTTGAAGTTGTCAAAATTCGACAAAATAAATTTTATAAAAATCTACGTGAAATTTCGATAATTTTGATTTAAAGAACTTAGGGTAAATTATACATGGTATGAGAGATAAAAATCACCGAAGATTATTAAGGGGAAAATTACTTTAAAACCCATTCTAAGTCTTAAAAGGAATGAAGGAATGAGGGGTGCATGCATCATTTTGGACACCCCTCCTCCCCCATCACCCTCATAAGCCATGGGACCGAATATTTTCGGTCCCCCTTCCTTAGTTCGGCCGAAAAGAAGCGAGAGAAAGAGGGAAAGGGCGGCGGGAGCAAGGAATTCTTGCGGCCGACGGCTTTTTCGGTGGCGATTTTAGGGGGGAAGTCAAAAGGGAAAGATTAAGGAAGTAAAAGGGTAAGATCTAAACATATAAATCTTTCTTTTTCTCCAAGATTTTTCATGATTACAATTTAGGGTTTTGTTCAAAACTTTAAATCTTTCAAAGAAAATGATAGGGAAGGATTGGAATATAATTCTAACCATGAAAATGTAATTTTTCACAAAAAATTTCAAGTTTCCAAAATAAGGGTTTTATTGAAACTTAATTTTTTCTTAAGAAAAGTGTTAGGAAAGATTTAAAAATATTTTTTAATTATGGAATTTGTATTTTCCCATTTTTTTTTATTCAAAAATTAGGATTTTTCCAAATGTTAATTTTCATGAAAATTTCTAAACAAATATTATTCCTAAGGGTCTTAGAAAGATTCTATTGGTGAAAATTTAAGATTTTTCACAAAATATCATTTTTCCTAATTTTTAAATTTAAATAATCCAAAAAATTTTATGCCCATATTATTAACTAGGTAAGGATGAAGTTTTAGAATGATTATGTGATGGAAATAAAGGAAATTAGAATTTCAAATATAGGGTTTTAGAATAAAACTAAATTTTATATTAATTTAAATTAAATTACTTAAGTATAATGTAATTATAAAGTGATAGAAAGGGTAAATCTTGGATTTGGACAAAAATTTGGACTTTATAAAATTATAATTAATTTAAATCTGAAAATAATTATAATGATAGTTATAATTACAGTTAAGATTAAAATGAATTAAGTATTCATGTATATGATAACTGACAACTTATAATCCACCTCTGTAAATTTCTTTTGATAATAAATAAAATTTTTGGAAATTTGAAAGTTTTAGTCTCTTTATAA